TTTAGAGTTTTCTGGTTATCACTGTAGTAAATTAAAAATTAGTAAAGTAAGATTTTAAACTGAGTCTGACACTTAAAGGACCACGTAGTACGTACACGTAATTTCAAATGCCACTCTATTTATAGTGTGGCATGTCTGATTCACAACGGTACCCTTAAAGTCTTTGTTTGATCAAATATGAATTAACTTTTTAAGTCCATAGAGCTAGTTGCAAATTGTAATTTCTCAAATTTAATTCAACAATTCCTTTAACCCACAGAACTTGGGTAAAAGACAGAGCACATTTTACAAACACAATGAAAATTTTGCATACTAGCATTCAAAATATTACTTTTTACTATTCTACTTTTAAAATATTTATAATAGTGTCACTAACATATTGTAAAATATTGACAACAAATACTTAATTTGTAATTACAAAGGAACTGAGTGATTACTCCCAATTTATATAATTTCAAACTTTGACAAGATACATCTTGAAATATAAAGCTATGCAACATAACACAGGAACCAAATTTGGTTAATACTCTGTATTTCCATCGTCCAAAAATTGGAATACCTCGTAAGGACTCCTGATTTAAAAAGGCAGTTTTGCTTGATTTCTCCCTCTAATAGGAAGTTGAGCCCAAACCTCCTTGTTATACTTTTCTTATGACGCATTTACTCTGCTTTGAAACATTTATCATCCCTAAATAAGGAAAGAAAAGTGGGTTCCTAAGGTACCAGGGCTGTTTTCCGACAACTTCCTATTTAAGGAACTCTGAATGGAAATGCCCTCGCTGCTTTAGGACTAGACTTTTAGCTTCCTTTTAGAGGGATTATATTCTGCTTCAAAGCAGAGAAAATGCGAAGAGAGAAGAATAACAAGGAGGATTGGGCTAAACTTCCAATTAGAGGGAGAAATCAAGCAAAACTGCCTTAAAAAAATCAGGAGTCCTTACGAGGCATTCCAGTGTTGGTACGAAAGGAAATACAGTTATGTAGACGAGAAGTAATTGAATGGCTCAGTAACATCTCGCCATATAACATTTCGCCATATAACATTTCGCCATAAAACAACTCACCTAAGTAACATTTCGCCATATAACAACTTGCCTAAGTAACATTTCGACATATAACAACAACTCGCCTATATAACACTTCGCAATAAAAAAAGAATAATAATACATTTTTTTAGTAGAAAGTAGTAGTTTATTTGTAGTTTAGTAGAAAGTATATATGTAATTATATAAAATCATGAAACATTGTTCAGCTATATTGATGAATACATAGATACATATAAAAGTAGATTTAAAAGAATTGAGTCTTTGCCACAAACTCTGCTTTTCTAAACCCTATATCTTCGGATTCCAATGTCGTAGACCTTAGATATTTTAAACTATAAATTCTGTTAGATAAATTAATATAAGTTTGAAATATCAAAGATGTACGACATTGGGTTCTAAAGATAAAGGGATTATAAATAAAGAGTTTGTGCGCAAAGACTCAATTCCTTTAGTGTGGGAGAAGTTGTTTATATCAACCAAAGATGGTTTCCCCCGCTGAGATGCGTGCAGATCCCCCGACATTTTTGGCATTACTGTTTGCGGATTTTTGGTTTTAGATTCGTGGATTTTATGGTTTAATTTCATTTACACTACAATTATATAATTTAGAAATTTGTATGTAGGCGAGTTGTTGTTATAAGGCGAAATGTTACTTAGGAGAGTTGTTACTGAGGCAAGTTGTTATATGGCGAAATGTTATATGACGAGATGTTACTGAGCCAATTTAACCACTTAGACTAAGTTGATCCACTTCTGTTTAAAATTTGGTGATCATGATGGACCAAACCTCTACAGAATAAAAAAGTATATGTTAGTAACTTAGTTCCATATTTTATTGATACTATATTTTGGCCTGGGTTGACACTTGACCCTTGTCAGTTTTTGAGATTGCTTCTGTCAAGAAGATTATCCCACTTCACCTTAAAATAGCCACATGTTCACACTCTAAATTGCGTTATAAAAAATTGCTTGTTTGCCACTTGTCAGTAAAAGCTAGTTGGCTGTAAATTAAGCTACACAAAATCGCGAATTTTCAACAAAAAATAATCGCTTTAAATACAAAATATAAAAAGTTATTTCTTTTTTAAGTTTGAACTCCTGAAATTCTAAAGTTTACTGATCTGAAGACAAATAGGAACCAAGTATACACTTTAATTATTAAACAATTAAAGGTTTAATGAAAAGAAAACAAAGAAAGAAAAATTGAGAAATTAAAAAATTTGAGAATATTTAACTCAAGACTCAATTTTTTTTACACAGCAAAAGCTTTATGTTTTGAAGGTTTTCATTAAACCAGTTTTGGAAACTAACGGAAAATTTATCATTTCTATTTTTGAGTTACATATAAAGAGGTTGAAATTAGTTCTAACAGAGCACAGTGCAAGATCCATAGGTTGCAAGCTTTAATGCAAAAATCTATAAAAATTTTGCCATCAACTCTTGTTAAACTAAAGATAAAACATGTGCCTAATAGTATTAAAATGTACATTTCTTTTCTACAAAAGAGTATACGTGAGGTCAAATCAAGGTCTTGCAATACTTCGAAGTCTACCCAACATTTAATAGACAGAGAAGGTTTTCCACACTCCACAGACAGAGGAGATATATGTGTGTGTGGTGAAGGGATATTCCTAGATGAATATATTAGACAAATTGTCCAGACATAGTTACACTTTACTAGATAATTGTTATAGTGCCAACTAATCAGTCCATCCCATCCCATCCATCCCATCCATCCCATCCATCCCATCCATCCCATCCATCCCATCCATCCCATCCATCCCATCCATCAAATCCATCCCATCCATCCCATCCATCCCATCCATCCCATCCATCCCATCCATCCCATCCATACAATCCATCCAATCCATCCCATCCTTCCCATCCATCCCATCCCATCCATCCCAATGTTTTTGAAACACACAAACTGCACTGAACTTTTGAGTTTTTAAAAGTTTTAATTTTATTTCCTGTGCTGAACATTTTTTATGTTTTCTTGAGGGGCAAAGTTATAGGGATTCTAAAACTTTTCTACAGTTGCAAATAATATTGTTAACTTAAGGAGGAAGGAAAAAGAATTTGGATAAAAAAGAAAAAAATTAAGCTGTAATTGAGGGGTGAAAGAACAATTCGGTAACAATGATAATGTTTAACTTCATTCTAAAAGTTATTTCGTTTAAGTAAGCAATTATTTTCCATTTTTCTTTCTATGTATCTATCTATTTATCTATCTATCTATCTATCTATTTATCATTCTATCTATTTATCATTATACACACAATTTTTTAGAAATAGATTATTTAAGTAGGTGAACAAAATAAGCATTTTTCTACAGTGATAACCAGAAGGCTCTGAAGTATTAGGACGACTTTTAGTGTAAAGGTATAAATATGAAAGTCCAATGTGCATGAGATACAACAATTTTTCAGTGTACAGACACCCATTCCACAAAATTAGTGAGTTAACAAGTGTTTAACAAAATATTTGCTTTGTAACAACATCAAATACACTGAAGTAAATTGCTTTAATGCCATCTTCCTCTCTCTTAGTTTTCTTGTTATCAATGTAAAAACCATGTATTTCCTGATTTACATAAATTGGAAATTGTAATAAATTTCGTCTTCAAAGTTATAAGATTGTAAATGTCGTCGTTGCATTCTTGTCTTAGTCATCGGGATTGTTGAACCGGATCCCGGAAATCTCACGGTATACGGCTAGACGTTGCTTTATCTATCTATCTAACTATCCATCTACATATCTATTATCTTTATGTACAAGTAAGTGTACATACAATTATGCCAGGCTCTGTTCTGTGCTGCCTCTAGTCCTGTTTACTGGAATTAAGATTTCGCAGATTTCAAGTCTTCAAATTCTTGAAAGGTCTCTAGATGTCCTTGTCCTTCCCCCCCCCCCCTCCCTGCCCCCACGCATCAACTAAATGTGGTTGCATGCAGGTTTGTAAAAGAAAGAAAAGAGAAGGGGGGGGATTTATATGATTTTTAAGTGCACAAAAAAGGAGGAAACGAAAATCAAGAGAGAATGCATATGAAAAAAATGTAAAGGGGTATTGGCGAGGGGGGGGGGGACGGGATAAAAACGCGACCCTGAAATAAAATTGAATAACGCTGTACCGGGATTTTCATAGTATATTCAGTCTTTCTAAGCAGTTCTTTCATTGTGAATCTTTGATTGCATGTGATTCTCTAAAAACATAATGTATAGAATTAGGTTAAGTTAGTGAATTTAGATGATATGCTAGAAAAAGTTTGTTTAAATAATCTTAAGATGTGAAATTAAAAACATTATAACATGCATTTCACATTACATCTCTGTTGCTCAAAGTTATGAAGGATAATGCTTCAATGATAACATGGATCAGTAAAATCTATGGTTTCCAGGGGGTGCTGCAGATACCTGCCCTGCACAAATTTCTGTGTACGCCCCTGTTAACGACTTTTTTATCTTTAATTATTTAATATTCTAATCTTCCAAATTTAATAAAAAAATTTTGACTAATGTGAATATTTATTGAGGAGGATATATAATGTTTATTTTTACAATATTGTCACTTTTAACTAAACTTTATTATTTACATACATAAATACAAATTAAAGTTCAAATGAGAAATGACTGTAAAAATTCAGGGGTGGTGTACAACCCCCAAATTTCACTTAGGGGGGGGGGGGTAATGGACTTCCACCCCCCCTCTGAAACCGCCCAATTGTTAACAAAAACACGTGTAGTGTACTCAGGCCCGTTTCACTGAACACATATAATATACGTTAAATGCACATAAAATTGTATAATTTATAAATGTCGTCTTTCTCTTTCAAAATATAATGGGTCCCATTGTACAATGACAGAGATGAAATTTGTAAAAGTTCAAAAAGGAATTTATAAAATTTTTTACGTATACATTTTTTATAAAGTTCAACTAAAGTCTTTACCCGACGACAAATTTACTTTTCAATTCTCTTTCAGAAACAAAATAAACAGAAGGAGAAGCGCACAATTATGCGACATATTGAAGTAAGTTGTCAGATTACAATGATATTAAAGTAAGTTGTCAGATTACAATGATATTAAAGTAAGTTGTCAGATCACAATGATATTGAAGTAAGTTGTCAGATTACAATGATATTGAAGTAAGTTGTCAGATTACAATGATATTAAAGTAAGTTGTCAGATTACAATGATATTAAAGTAAGTTGTCAGATTACAATGATATTAAAGTAAGTTGTCAGATTACAATGATATTAAAGTAAGTTGTCAGATTAAAATGATATTAAAGTAAGTTGTCAGATTACAATGATATTAAAGTAAGTTGTCAGATTACAATGATATTAAAGTAAGTTGTCAGATTACAATAATATAAAAGTAATTTGTCAGATTACAATGATATTAAAGTAAGTTGTCAGATTACAATAATATTAAAGTAAGTTGTCACATTACAATGATATTAAAGTAAGTTGTCAGATTACAATGATATTAAAGTAAGTTGTCAGATTACAATGATATTGAAGTAAGTTGTCAGATTACAATGATATTAAAGTAAGTTGTCAGATTACAATGATATTAAAAATTAAATAAATTGTTAATTCAATGAACCTTTTATAGATATTTCTCGGAATTGCGTTGATATCTCCAGCTCTTTCTGTTCCTGTCGAGTAAGTTTTTTTTAAATGTTGAAGTTTTATGATTTTTATTTTTATCAACTATAGCTGAAGTTCGCTGTGTTTCTCAGGTTTATATTATTATTCATAGTCATATTAGCGACTCGTAAACATTTTTTCAAAAAACATCGTCAAAAATGGACGTGCAAAAATGGACGTGCAAAAAGAAGCAAGTAATAGAGAACCTGGAGACGTGCAGATGAAGAAAAGAGAAAAAAGATGAACATTTGAAATCAGTAACTATGCCTCGTACCATTTTATTTTATAAAAAAAAACATTTAAACAAGTTATAAATTAATCCCGTCATTTACTGGCGCGTCAAAATTAAAAACTTTCCTAATTTATTTTAGTCTCCAACACCCTTGGGGCACCCATGGGTTACTAAAAAAATGTCAGCTAATTTGGTTCAGCCGTTTGGCCAGTTATATCAAACATTTAAATATATAACCGAAAAGCTTTATTGTTTAGAGTTTGCTTATCTTTATTCCTTTTTCTTTTTCTTAGTTGAAGATATTTTTTATTTTTGTTTTGATTATTGTTTTGATTCTAATATTGTTTATTATTTATGATAATTATTTTAATTATTATTTCAATATTATTTAGTATATCTGATGAATTAGACGAGGAACTGACCGGTCCACAACCTAGTGTTATAGGTAACTTAAAGCTTAATATTAAGTAACCCTTCCAAGCACCTCTGCCCCTTTAGTAAAAGTAAATTCAACCTATATGAAGCATAAAGTCTGAGCTAGGTACCGTACAGTACAAACTGGGAACGGAAAGGTTGCCCGTGCTTCTGCATGCAAAGACGACAATGCCCAATTCACATCAATATGCTTGAAAACATTATCTGATCAATACTGTGGAAGATATTATCGCTTTCTACATAGTGTTTAGTTCTGATAACTCCAATATGTTTTCCTGTAGAAATGCGCAAGTTACTTTTGTAGAGAAACCGCAATGGAAAATAATCAAATTTCAAAATATTAAACATTGATAACATAAGTATATGTGCTATCAGGCAAAGTTTTTAAGGGTACCGTTGTGAATCGGGAGGATTTGATGTTTTTGCGATGTTGATATGATTTAAATTGTTGAAATTGTTTTCAAATTTTTAGCTGTAGCTCTATACTCCTTCTTAGGGTTTGGCTCTCTGATATTTTTAAGTCATTTTCATGTTTGACGGGGGTAAGGGTAAAACTAACTAAACTAATATAAAGTGAAGCTAATGAGCAATAATTGTTAATTATGAACATATGATAAACTTCTAGAAAATTTCTTATAATTTAGAACTAATCAAGAACTTTTTTTTCATATTATATTCATAATTTTTATTTATTTTTTATTTAAAAATAATTATACTTTACAATATATAAAAAAAGTCTTTCAACCAGCCAGGGTTGAAAGGGGAAAACAAGATTTTGAAGTATCACCAGCCGTGAGATCTAAAGAACAATGTTAAATCTTTCATTTTATTTCAGGGTCGGTTGATAAAGTTTTGAAAAATGTGAATAAGATGGATCAATATCAATGTATTCAGGTATATCAGGGTGTCCTAATAAACGTGAGTTTTAAAGGGACTGTTTGCAATTTTTTTATCTCGCGATTCGTTTTTTTCGTAGCATGTCCGATTAACAACGACACGCTTAAAAGTTTTGTCTGCAGATCAAGAATGGATCATATATACAGATATTTTTGCGTCAGAAACCATGGAGGAAATTGTCATAATAAAACTCTTTTTATGCTAAAAAAATTGACTTATGTTTTTTACAATTTTAGATCAGACATAGGTTTAATCGGTACATTGTAAATCGGACATACCAATCTATTAAATGGACGATCATTTTTCAAATTGCAACGGCGATCTCTTCAAAATGCAACGTTGAAATCGTTTTTAATTTTCTTCATCTTTTCTGCATCTTCAACACTGACGGAGAAATTATAAATTTCCCAAACCAAGAGTTTTCATATATTATTGTTATAGTTGGATAATGACGATACCTGTGGCCGAATTTAAAGAATTTGAGCGGCGGTTGAAATTTAAGCCGCGGTTTAAATATGGTTGGTTCCACTTAAAATTGTATCAAATGTTTCAAGATTTAAGCCGGCGCTGAATTTAAACCGGGTTTTGGCGGAATTAAACCGCGGCTCAAATTCTTTAAATTCCATCTCTGTATTTACAAAAAAATATCTGCAATTTGTAGATCAGAGGCGATCTAATAATTGTCATCTAAGTAATACTACGCTTATTGAGAAACCCTGTATCTAGGAACTATATAAACTATATACAGGAACGCACAACTCAGATATACGCAAATTGTGTATATCTGTTCACTATGGGAGGAATGTAAACAAACCCAGTGCCCCCACAGAAGTTGAAGGGAAAGGACTAAAGCTCTGATATGATTTTACCAACAAAACTAGTCAATATATCAAGAGCGAATACTTATGATTTTTGGCTTTCTGGTCAATATATACAATACAATAGCAAAATATTCTTATTCCACCCCTTGGGCCCTTTTCCCTCAAAAATGATGCGTCGCCCCTGAATTCTTTGTTTTGATCTCCTCCCACTGCAGTACACAGAGTTGACGTATCAGATCTGGCGGTTCCTGGTCTATATATTTCTTGCCCTGTATGCTTTTAATTTTAATATTTTTTTAGGGGCGAATTTTTATATTTTCTATTCATTGCAAACGAATCTTTATCAAAGTATTTAGGTTTAAAGTTACGAAACCAACGAACCCTCATTTAATGTTTCAACCTGATGTTGTAAACCTTTGGTATTTTAAATTTAGTCTTTATCATGTAATATAAATCCTATAGTCTTAACTATCAAAGGTCTGCGACATCAGGTTAAACATATTCTTTTTATTTAGAAAGTTATTTGTGATTAGTNTTTTTTAAATAACAAATTGGATCTAAAACCAAGTATTTAGGTTTGATACGAAACTATATATTTATAAACTTAATATTTTAAACCTTTGATATTTCAAGCTTAGTCTACATATATCTTCTTACAAAATACGCAGTTAGAAAATAGGTTAAAAAATATAGTGATTAATGAATTAAAGTTAGAGGCGAGTGTTCTTTTTATTTAGAAAATTATTTTTGAGTATATGTGTTGTCTTAGCTTTGCAACCTGATGTTGTAACTTGTAAACCTTATATATCTTAAAATTGTCATCATCATCATCATATTTAACAAAATACAAATAGTTTGAAATCAAATTTTGAGAAATAAAATGTTTTTGCCTATGTCATTCATAAACTCTGATTATTTTAATCCCTTTATTTTCTACAACCAATGTTGTAGACCCTAGATATTTCAAACTATGAATTCTGATGGATCAAAAAATCAAAGTTTGAAATATCAAAGGTTTATGCCATCTGGTTTTAAAGATATAGGTATTAGAAAATTGATATTTGTGGCAAAGACTCAATTCCTTTGAGACATTTTGGTCCAGCCTTTGGTCTAGCTTTAGCCAACATATATACAAATTTATTTACAGTGAAACCCTTAATAACGAATACATAGAAAGAATTTATAATGTCGTCATGACAATTGTTCGATGAGTTTTATACTATATTACGTAAATTTCAGTATTTGAAAAATAAATAAATAGCCATGAATATGCGGGAAAGTTTTAAAGAGCTCCATATTATCATTTAATTAAAAAACTAAATATCTGCAACATTCCGTTATCAGAAAGTGAAGAATACGACATTTGATGAATTCTTTCGACGTATTCGTTATTAAGGGTTTCACTGTATATGAACGAAGAACTTTAAAGATAAGTTAAAGATCGAGGCGAGAGTTATTTTTATTTAGAAAATGATTTGCGAGTATATGGGCAGTGCGGAGCAAACTGTTGTGAACGCGGTCACGAATAATTTTGGTTCGCAGACCGGTCAGCTGGCACAGTCAGGACTCAGCCAGTTCCAGTCTAATCCACAACAGGGAAACAATTATATAATTATAGAATAATTAAAGGAACTGGAATTCCAATGACCCTTTTATTAAGTAAAGGACCCGATCTTTGTTTGCAGATTAAAATTTCGGAAGATATCTTTGTTTTTCGCAATTCCTTTTTAAAGAGAAAACAGATGCCTTCCTAAATCTATATATGCTAAGAAATGTTTATGAAGATTATTGTAAAACATTAAAGACATTATTCCATCATGTCTACAATCCCTGAAAGAACTTTCTTTTGTCCCTAATTAGAATTCCTGATTATGAACAAGCATTGATCTTTTAAATAACATATATGGTGAATTTGGGGTTCTGTTGGCTTTTTGGCTATTGAACTTATATGTTATAGGGACAAACTATAGAAAGGACATTTGAAAAAAAGCATTTAATTTAAAAACATTTCATCAATACGATAAGGAAATCTTGGTTTCTAGGCAAAGCAGGGATACCAAACTATAATATTCATTTTTTTTTAAAAATAAAAATTCCATTTTAATTTTCTTTTTATTTTATTTATTCTATTTATTCTATTTATAAAATCGTTTTGTTTCTAGTTCCTTCAGAATTTGCCTGGACAACTCAACCAAAATAATGGACCTTTAACCCAGGAATACCGGCATCATTAATTCATTAATTCATTTATTTATTAATTCATTTATTCATTAATTCATTATTTCATTAATTCATTAATTTATAAATTCATTTATTCATTATTTCATTAATTCATTAATTCATTATTTCATTAATTAATTTATTCTTTAATTCAATAATCTATTATTTCATTAATTCATTAATTCATTCATTCACCTATTCTTTAATTCAATAATTTATTAATTCATTAATTTATCAATTCATTTATTGATTAATTCATTAATTCACCACATTTACGAACATTGATAATTAATAAAAAAAACAAAACTAAAAGTTGAGATTATTTGTAAATATAGTTCAAGCTTTTTGGTTTGTTTAAGCTTTGTTTTGTCAAATTTGCCAAAAATTTACCTAAAAGAAGTAAAACTACAATTTGGTGTTTTATATGTTTATCATTTCAGACTATCGTCATATCAAGTTTATTGATATACATATATTACAGTGCGAACCAGAAAACCATGGAATAGAAAGACGACCATAAATCAATAAATAAGTGTTTTTGATGTTGGTGCAAAGCAAATAGTTTTACTAGTAACTTATAAAATTAGTTATTAAGTGAAATGGGTCTGTTTACACTGCTCAATTCCTGTTTCTCATTCTCATTGGACTATTTAAAGCAAGGATTTAATGCAAGGAAAGTTATTTTAGAGGTGTGCGCATTTTTTGTACTGCAGTGTACTGTCGCTGGGCGGTAATGTAAACACAAGGGATCCATCTTTCACATAAAAAATCAATGAAATAATCTGGTCATAGGAAACAAGGTCGTCTTCCTAATACAGAGTTTTCTGTTCTCACTGTAGGTTCACTCTTGCATGTTAAATGATGGTGGATTTGTCTGATAGGCAGTGACAGCTCAGCTTGGTCAAAATTCACCTTTCCTGCAACAGAATGGTCAACTACTTCAAAATATTGGAGGTCAAATTCTTCAGGCGGGTTTGAATGGCGGTCAAAACCAGTTTCAAACTCAGTTCGCGGGCCAGAACCAGTTTGGAAACCAGTTTGCTGGACAAAACCAATTTGGAAACCAGTTTGCCGGCCAAAACCAGTTTGGAAACCAGTTTGCTGGACAAAACCAGTTTGGAAACCAGTTTGCCGGCCAAAACCAGTTTGGAAACCAGTTTGCCGGTCAAAACCAGTTTGGAAACCAGTTTAAAGGGCAGAATCAGTTTAGGAAAGCACAAATAAAAATGAATATAATCTTATTTGACACCTGAAAAGTTTGTTTAAATTAACAAAGAAAACAATTTGATTTCGTAAGTTTTATTCTTGATATTTTTGATTTGTGAATTTTCAGTCAAAACCAGATTGGACAACAGCAGCAAGGTAATGAAAACAAATATCGACTTGAATAATTTTTTTTAGATTTAAGGGACTGTACCTTCAAGTGGTCCTCCTTTTTAAGAGGGCCATATCTGATTAACAATGGATACCCTTTTATCAATTATTTGATCATATAGTGTGGCCATTTTTTTGCAGTAGAAATGGAAAAATCACTTTTGTAGAGAAAGTAGAATTAAAAATAATAAAGTTTTAAGAAAATGAACATGGATATTTCTTTCATTATTTATCAGATAAAGGTATCGAAAGTACTATTGTGAATTGGACAAGCTCGTAAATAAATGTAGATTCTATTGCAGATACAGTTTCTTTTATATTAGACCACTAATTCTTTTATTGGCAGTGTACTGTACAGTTTTATTATTCCATTTACAGGAGGAGCTGGGGATGCTATTATAGATGCTATAGCAGGAGCACTTGCTGGTGCAATACCTGGCAGGAAAAAGAGATCAGAAGAAAGGTTAATTTATGGACAAAATATAATATAGTTTGCTTGTTTGTCTGTCAGGGTATCTGTACATATCCGGGAAAGCCAAAAAATCAAAGCAACTATAGAGAAAGATTTTCGGGCGGTTGAAATAAAAAACGTTACTTGGCAAATAATGTCGACATTTTTTATTTTGAAAAATCTGCAAATTCTAACCAAAAAATCCGTGAAAATTTGACGACGTTGAAAAAATAGTCACTTGAAGAGCAACAACCAAAAGCTAGAATTGTTATTTGAAAAAGGGGCGCGAAGCGTCATAGAAGGCTAGTTTGTAATAAACAGGGTAAGTCTTAAGCCAGTCATCTAGTATTTCACCCTGTAACAAACTTTTAAAAACAAGGATTTATTCTAGTGTTCGTGTGTTCTAAACTCGTTCTAAAACATGAAAAAAGCAGATTACGAAATTATAATTTATAATCTCGTCTTCTATTACGAGACAATTGTTAATTCTAAAATCAAAAGTTTTGCTTGAATTACACATAAAATTAAATTCTAAGTAAATATTTTCAATCATAACTCATTAAAGACATATGGCAAAGAAAAAAAAATGTTTTTAACTCCTAATATTGACCGGATAAATTGGCGTTTACTAAACTTGTAGGTAAAATCAAATCAAATGTCTAAGAAAGTATGAAGTTTACAATCAAATCCGTAATTATTTTTCAATTCAATTTGCATTCCATACATAAAGAAAAACAAAAAATTGAAGATTTTTTTTTTGCGGGAATTTTATTTTTTAATTTAATATGTCAAGTTTTTCACTTGAATAAAGATACGACTGAACAAGGACATATTTTGTGGATTTTATTGATTTCGTTGGTGGATTTTCGACATTTTTTACTATCGAGTATCGAACTTTTTAATAGCAATTTTTTAAAACATTTTGACTTGCCTGCAAGGTTAAAACCACAAACCAAAAGACAGACATACGAGCCAGTTATACATTATACACAGACCGATTAATCAATTTACTTTTGCTTTTTTTAGACGGCAGAAAAGACAAACATCGATGCATGGTCAAGCAATCAAGTAAGAATGTGTTTTTTTTTTCTCGCATCCATCGTTCTTTTACTTAATAAATGTTTATTCGACAAAATAAAAATAAAACGCCACTCCTTTCTAAGAAGCTGTTTTTTTTTGGCATGCAACAATTTTCATTGATTCCCGCTAATTTAAAAACATATTTGTATAGGTCAAAATCAAAATCAATGGAATTTTGAATTTCCATTGATTCTCATTTTTCAAAGATTAAATAATACAATTATTTTTCTTTTAGAATGATGCAATCATTTGGTTTGGACCAGATGGGTGCATATCCGTTTGTGAGAGCTGCAATAATTGGGCATGCTAATAAAGAGAGCCCAACAAATTGCAGACAGGTCTTAATTTTTATTTTTTATTTTAATGATGTTCTTTCGTAAAGTTAGGGGGCGTTTTAACCATTAAGATACAGTAAGATGTCCAAATATGACAAATGATACATCATTAGAAAGCTCTTGTGCTCTACATTTAGAATCTGCAAAAAAATTTGCAAATTTGCAAAAATAGAATTTTTTATCGCAAAATCCAGTTATATAGTAAAAATGTTTGCAAAAAAAAAATTTGTCCAAAAAATAAAAAATTATACATTTTTGAAAAGCTCTTGACCATGCCATTTCAAATTTGCAAAATTTTTTGCAAAATTTTAAATAACCTGATTTTTAATGAAGAAAAACTAAAAATGTGCAAATTTCCTTTGACAGGTTGTTTGCAAAAAATTTGCATTTTTTTTCGCAAATCCGTTTTCTTATGTCATAGGCTTTCCAAAAAGCTAAAATTTATCAAAATCTGACAAGTGAAAGTGGGTCAAAACAAAGATTTAGTTTGTTACAGGCAAAAACAGTCATTCAGGCAGTGTGGCTGAGGACTCAGGCAGTTAGTATTAAAGCCCAGTTTTAGGCCTAAAGGGAGGGCTTTGGGTATGTAAGAAAAGTCAGAATATTTCAACAGCCTCAGACGAATACTTTTTGAGTTATGTAAAAAAAACTACAGGGGGGGGGGTCAACAGGAATAGGGTTAAACTTGAAGGAAATCATTATTATAAAAACAGACATTAAAAATTCTGTAATGTTTTTTCTACAGTCTCATGCAACTATGATAGAAAGAGGACTGTTAACTACATGAAAAGCAAAAACATAAAAAAAAGCCACAGTGCAGTGAACACAGACCCATTTAAATTAAGTAGTGGATTTTCTAGCAAGTGGTAAATTGTTTCATTAAACCATCAATTATTATAAGACTATTAAATGCCGTCACCTTTTCCAAAGTATTATAGGTATCACCTTACAACACTTTTTCGTAAAAATGTTGTGTCAATGGCCAAAAAAATACGGAGTTTGGTTAGAAAACGCATTTGTTCAATAAAGTTACTCACATCTTTTTCGAAACTGCTTCACGAATTCAACTTAATTTAAAATCAAATAGTGGAATATTTTGTATTTTTAAACACCTTATTGTTTCAGCTATTCCCCCAGTGTCCAGACGGAACAGATCAGCTGTTGAATTATTTCAACAACCATAATGGAGGATTATTCCAGAACGCCGTCCCTAGCGCTACAAGTGAGGTTGGATCCCTCTTCCCAGGATTATCAGCTTTACCACAGGTATACAAGACCACTGGAACCATAGCTGTCCAGGTTGACCCCAAAAACACAGCTGTCTTGGTTGACCCCAAAACCATGAACTGTCTAGGTTGGCTAGAAAATCATAGCTGTCTAGGTTGACTAGAAACCCCAGTTGTCTATGGTTGACCAGAAAACCACAGCTGTCTAGGTTGACTACATAACCGCAGCTGTCTAGGTTGACTAGAAAACCACAGCTGTCTAAGTTAACTAGAAAACCACAACTGTCTTGGTTAAATGTGTTAAAAGAATGAGCTTTGTTGTAAATAATGTTTGTTTTTATTTAGTCTTTGTTTTTTCTTTTAGTTAAAAATACCGCTAAAAATTCAGAGGTCTCGACAGTTAAAAACAAAAAAACCTTCTAGTTCATTTTTAAAATCCAAAGAAATTTTTACAGTATTTCAAATTATAATAATTCTAAAATCTTTTATAATTATCTAGGAAAAAAAATGTATTTATTATTGCTTAGATTGCAGCCTCAACTATTGGTGAATTTGCTTCATCAAGCGGCGGCTCCGGAGGCGGTGGAGGGTTGGCGGATTTAGTAGGTCATTTTAAACATACTGTTAGACTCAAATTTTGATTTTAAATAGTCCAATGAACACGAAACACAGCACTTGTGCAGTGCTCACAGACCCAATTATTTGGTTTTGAAGCATACTGGTAAAACCATTTCCTTATAATAACATCAACTAATCATAAGATTAATAAAATGTCGTGATCGTAATCCACAGTTTATGGGGACCACTGTCCAACACCTTGTGTTCTACTAGCTTGGGAACCCAGCGTTGCCCAGATTACTCATAGTTACTTTCGCCGTTTACCCGCACTTGGTGGATTTTACTGGGAAACAACATTTTTTGAATAAAAGTCAACCCGTCTAATTTTAATTCTTAAAACCAGACTTTGAATATTTCCTTGGCTCTCCTGAGTTCCCCGTTCAAAATTTGAGGCAAATCGGTCAAGGGGATTCTGAGTTATGATCGGACAAACAAACAAACAGACATACTTTGTATTTATAGAAAACTGTGTTCAGGTGCTGAGTCTGGTATAATGAATACAGTGGTGGACGGGTTAGCTGGGATGATTGCCTCAGCAATGGGGAAGAAAAAATAATTTTTTTTTGTGGCAACCTTTTTTTTAAAGACCAGAACAAAGTAATCGTGAAAAAATGTGTAAGGAATGATTTGAAAAAAGTTTATGGGGTCTCACTTGCGTCAAACCACTTGATTTTAAAAGAATTATAAATGTTATTTCAATCACCATTGAAAGCTTTATCTGATCGTTTTTCTAGGCATAAAAATGTCTATCAATGTCAATTTTTTGTAGAGAAACCATACACAATTGGAAAAAATCAGTGTTCAAAATTTTAAATATTTTTATCTAATTTGTTCATACTTGATCAGAAAAATCTTTACACTTCTAAGGATATCATTGTGAATCGGGCATTGTCAACCTTGCATGAAGGGTTCCTTGAAATGACGCTTATAATCCCTTAGCATAACGTAACATAAAAGGAGGTTGTTTAAGTGGTTATGCAATTTGATTTTTGCATATTTTACACAAGTACATCCTTTCATATTTTTACGTAAAATTCGAATCTATTTGCCCTTTCAAGTTTACATTGTATTGACTTTCTACATAATTCACAGATTATTCAAAATAAACTTATGATTTTGTAAATGGTCTAAACTCTGAAGTCCAGGATAATTTGAGCATAACAACCTGCAATCTCGGGCCTGGGGATTAGTAGATCTAGTCAAAGGTCGTCTTCAAAGAAAGACTACTTATCTTGTCCTTTTTGAGTAAAAGTCTTCATTGAAACTTAAAAATTTTCTTCATTTCACAAAATCTGTTATTCTTTAGTCCGTTTATCAACATTGTTTTATTTATCATTTTATTTATTTTGTTATTTAAATATTTTTTATTGCACTGTTATCATAATTTATTTATTTATTTCTTTATTTTGTTTTTTTATATTTACAGTAACTAGTAAATATAATGTTGTCATGCCTAAGAATAAATATAAAAATATTTTGTATTAAATTTATTGATTTCTATACTTTATGATTTACAACTTTATTTATATGTGTGAAAGAGATGTATGAAATGATACAAGGCTTCCACTTGTATAATCAATGTCATGATAATCTTGGTCCAGCAGAGGTCCAAATCCCTAAATAGTAAAATTATGTTTAAGTTAAGACGACATTCCAAAACTTTATTTTCTGGCAAGTTATAATATACAGGGTTACCCACACAGATAATTCATTGAATAAACCAATTTTCAGATTAAAATTGTATTTTGCACTAAATGTAGTTTAGTCTAATGGCTACATTGATCTATGAATGTAAATAAGAATAACTATCTATAAAGTCGTCTTTAAAGTCTTTTCCTTTGTGGGTAGCCCTGTAAGATTACAAATCACAGTTTTTTAAATTGTTTTTGGGATTTTCACCAAAGAAAAAGCTTGTTTGTTTGTATGTCCACTGTACCGCAAGGTTACCTCACCAAATATTAACAGTTATACAAAGCTATATAAAAAGTTTTCAAAAAGTTCGAGACTATTTTTACATTTAAATTCAAAACAAGTCAATATTTTTAATTATTAAAAATAAAATTTATTAGTCTGTTTATGACTTTGTAGATTTATGCCCTAAAATCATTTCATCCTTTCAGGTTCCCCCTTGTTAGATTTTTACCTGGTTTTGAGAAAAATCTTCTTCATCACTGGTCTTTCCTTCAGGAGTCCCAGGATATGCGCCGGTGTCGGAAAATGCCGCAGAATCCGAGTATAATGTTATTCCGTCGTCTTCATTTGCCTGGGATTTCTGAGGATACACTGCCACAATGTCGTCTTCTGCAAGTTTCTCATATTGATTAGGTATTAGGAATCCTTGAAGATTTATCATGGAACCTGACACAATTAATTTTTTTCAAATTAAAAAGTAGAAGTAACTTGGTATTTTCTCTAAAATTTTTAGTAAAAAGCTAAATTTTTTCTAAATGAAAAATATTGCAAGAAAAACAGACATTTAGAAAAAAATTGGAAAACGTGTGGTTTAAATTCCTCTCCTGTACATATATACTACCTTAATTCATTGTCTATTCGTTTCATATCAAAAAACTAATTTCTTTGTTGAAATTTTTTGTTCAAAAATATTTTTAGGAAATATTTACCAGTTTTTTTCTTGCTTGACGTGTTCTCAGGTAGAGTTGGTTCCTGTCCAGCTTTCACGTGGTATTTGTAAACTGGTTCTGCTCCACCTGAAGTATATTCGGCTCCACCGGAAGAAGATTCAAGATGACCGGTCCAGCCCTGGGGGTAGTTCTGACTCGTTCGAACCGGTTTGTAGTTGTCTGCGGTAATGACCGGCCCGTAATCCTCAACCGGCTCTTGCGGGCTATAATATTTTTGGACTGGACTTTGCGGGCTATAATATTCCTGGATTGGGGTTTGCGGGCTGTAATATTCTTGTACAGGACTCTGTGGGTTATAATAATCTTCGTATGACCCAACTCCCTGAACATTTTTATCATTTAAAGGGACTGTAAGCGTAATTTTAAGTGACCTTCCATGCAAAGATGCCAATGTCCGATTCTTGTCCGAACTTCAAAAGCTTTGTTGGATCAAGTATGAATTAGATATCTATGATTTTTTTTTTAATTAAACTTATTATTATTATTCATGTGCTTTCTCTTCAAAAGCGACGACAATTGCACAATTCTTGATTAAACGGAGATAATCAGAAAAATATAAACACTTTCCGAGGTGGAAAACCTAAGTTTTGGATCAGATTAATATTTTAAGGGTACCGTTGTAAATCGGGAAGTTCCATCTTTGCCTGAAGGGTCACTTGAAATTACGCCTACAGTCCCTGGATTCAGCGTTCAAAAGTTTTGACCTTATGTTAATAAACTATTAAGACAGGGTTACCCAGACAGAATGAGACTGTAAAGACGACCGGAAACTCTGTAAAAATTAGTTTTAAATTAGTCTTCACTCTTCAGCCATAAAGTGAATGTATGGTTGTTGAACTGAAAATGTAGTATTGTGGAAAACTTTTTAGGAATCATTTGAGACATAAAAAACGTTTCCACAATGTATAATTACTGATTTAATGATTTACACAGAGAGAAACAAGTTTACAGTTGCATGGAACTATGAATATAAAGAAAAAACTAAAGTTTTATCCTTTGTGGGTAACCCTGTACTTCTAGTAATTTATTGATCGTAATCATCATAACATGAGAAATAAGATGGAATTAATGGATTTAGAATTAAAAAGTTTAGACCATGTTAATTAACGATAACTACCTGTTGAGGAAGATCAGCGTACTTAAGTATTGGTCTAACCTCCAGAACATTCTACAATAAAGACGACATTTAAATACATTCACAGAAAAAACAGATAAGACCAACGCTATAATGTGAAAACTTTCTTTTTGTGGTTAAAATTAATCTATATATATATTTATATATATATTTTGCTTGTTTGTCTTATTCTGCAAGCTGCATCATGCGTATATCCAATGAACGTCAAAATGGCTGAAATGACCAGGCTCAAATTTTGTGCGGAACCTCAAATGAAAATTTGTATTACTGTTGTTACATCGGAAGGGAAAATGCTAAAAGATTTATTAACAATTAAACGTTGAAATAAAAGATATGCGCGAAGCGCCCTGATAGCCTAGTTACAATAGAATGAAAATACTTCCGCTTAAACAGTTCCAAATTGGTTACTGTCGAAAACAGAAAGTGTTGATAAAATATTATTCTTTATCAATTCACTTTCAAAGAAAAATGACATTAAAAATAAAAATAACATTAAATGTAACATTACATATAACTATATATAACATTAAATATAAATATAATAAAAATATAAATATATAACATTGAATATATAAATATAAAATTAATTATAAACCACGTGTCAAAGGGCTTGCAATTGATAGATAATAAACACACAAGAAAGATGTTGATGTTCATAAAAATTTAAAAGTATTTAAAAGTAAAAAAAAATATTATTTAAAATTATTTCTAACCTTGTTTTTAGCTGGAGAAATAGCTAAACCTTTAACACCAACTGGTACTGCACTCTAAACATTATCAAATCAATTAAAAAAAACTCTAGGGGCTCAAACTAATCTGACATGGTCTTTTAACTATCTAAGGAATTGGGTGGTTACCAGGAAGTTTTGGCCTAAACCTTGAATTCAACTAGTTTAAGGGTGGTGTCGGGGTTCAATGCAGGACTCACAGGGAATTTTTGAGTACGGATTTTAAAACTTGAATAGACCAGCTTATTTCGATCCTACTTGTTCCAGGGATAGTCTTCTTCACAATGATGTTTTCTATTTTTCGATATCTATATAGTATTTTTAGTATGTAATAAACAAATACACTTTATTATGAATTGTAGTCTGTAACAGGGATAACCTGTATTTAAACTGTGTGTTTCATCTTAATAAACAGTATAGTACCATCTTTATTCCTAACTTATAGGGAGTGAACCTAGTATAGTGATAGCTATCCATAGACTCTAGAGAGTGAAATCAGTATAAGACATAGACTGTGGTTAGATAGGAATTAGCTGTGTTTGAGTGTAGACTCTGATAGTTTTATATCTTTGATCTTGAAGATTAGAGTTAGAGGCAATTCCTGTTCTAGGAGTAAACTGAGTTTTGTTCACTACTGAAGTTTGTTAGAGTTGCCTAAGTTGAGATATTTTCTGGTTGGTTTTCCTTTGCAGCTCATTTATTGTCAAAGGGACTACTCCTGAGTTTAGAGGAGGGTCGAATATTTTATGGTGGCAAGCGGTCGTGATAGAGGGTAGTTGGAAGTAAAAAGAAAATCCAATACCAAACCCAAGGAGAGCTGAAAGGAACCAGAGAAGATGGAAGAGGCAAATGAGTTAATTCAGAGGCAGAGGGAGGAGATAGAACGACTTAATCAGGAATTAGTTGTGGCCCGTGGACAAGCAGCAACCCTGGCACCTGGACCAGCAGCAGCCCCGGCACCTGGACCAGATGCAGTACCCCTCCCCGCTGAGGTAGAGGTAGAAGACTATCGGACCCGAGAAGCTATATTACGAAGCGTTCCCAAGTTCCTGGATAATGGTACTCTCCTATTTAGAGATCACGAGGTAATGGTGTATAAGTTTTTGATGTGTCGACACAACATTGTCCGGACCGATAAGTTTAAGAAGACCATCTTGTTGGAGAGTCTAGCAGGCAAAGCTGTAAGTAGGATCTGGGACAACCCACTCATTCAGGAATGTTATCGGAGTGGTACGTTCGATCAGTTTGCAGCCCTGATCTGAGAGACCTTCTGTTCAGATTCGGAAGCTATGTTAGTGCATTCATGTTGGATTACACGGACTGTGTGTAAATCCAACCAAGATTAGGAGAGTGGGTGTTAACATATTTCACGGCAATATGGAACAACCCAGCTCCGCCAAGAAGATGTATCTCGTCCAACCCAGGACAGTAACAAGGTTGCAAGGATATAAGTGCAAAATCCGCGAGAGCAGATTTCGCTACTACTGCGGGGCGTGGAGTCATCTCAAGGTGGCCAAGGTCCCCACAATACAACATGATGTGTTGGTATCATCGGAGTGGTGCAGATTACTTAGTAACCACAGACAATTCAAACCACCGGGTAGTAACCAGATCTTTAAAATCCTGATTGATCAGACCACCTTCGTTCAAGTAGCAGCTGTTGGAGAGCTCAAGGTAGCGGATGACAAGGTCGGATGCAAGGGGGAGACAATGAATACGGGCAACGGTTTAGTGGAAGATTTGATGTAGCTAGTGGAGTATTCAATCCTTGTGGAATCGGAAGAGTTTGTGGCACAAGGACAGTTAGTAGAAAGTAAAAGTGACCACCTGGAACTTCCATGCAAGTTAAATGCAGGAGGTTGCGAGACGGGGGACGGGACATTTATCTACAACTACACCCCAACCTGCTCGTTTGAGAAGATACAAGTATTCACTGGAACACGAGTGATGGGTTCTTACCTAGTAGATGAGAAGAAAGCTATTTTACTTAATATTACAAGAGTGACAATGGCACCACAGGAATGTGGCAGTGTGAAGTTGTTGTCTACCAAGTGCCCCAAACTCTCCGCAGCAGAATTAGCAGATGTAGTTAGTTGGGGAACACTGCACCCTTCAGACTTGCACGTCGCCATCCAGGAACGAGTACGAAAGGATTACCTAGCCTATCAATTGGAGAAACAGATGCAGTCAGTCCAGGAGATGTTGAAGGTTACAGTCTGCCAGCAACAAGTGGCCGGTTCTGAAGAGATACCACAACAGTTACCCAACAGGCAGTACGCCTACAGGAGAGGAGATGTGTTGTTTGTACTATCTTGTGTACAGAAAAGAGGAGTGATTGCAGAACTGTCAAACTGTTATGACAAAATTCCAATGGACCCAAGTGGGCAAGTATGGGTAGATCCCACCACCCGACTACGTACTCAGCATGCTACGCAATTACCCTGTTCCAACAAGTTCCCGATGACCATACAGGTGTCCAATAATACTTGCGTAGCAATTACACCTGCATTTGTACCAGTGGCAACGCCTGAGCAGTTAACATTGGAACAGGATAACTCTATGGACCATTTGGACAAGTCTGTGAGCCGACCCTACACTTATGCCGAACAGAGGGAGTGGGAACAGATTCTGGAGTATCCTTCTTACCATAAGGCTTTGCTGAAGTCCCTAACTATAGGGAGTTGCGTGGAAACCAACTCTTGTGCAGTAGGAGTCAATGACTCCATAACCAGGTACGACTTGACCGGATTGACGAAGAGCTATGAAGAGATGAATATCCTCTCACGAGTGGACAGAGCAATAAGGGAATACGGGACTATCTCGCTCCCCTAGTACTGGTGATTATGGCATGAGTAAGAATGATTGTTCACATATCTTTTATGGTAATGGCATATTTAAAAGGAGGACCTGCCATGGCTCTTGCCATTATTTTGACTACCTGTTGTGGAGCTAATGAGACCCTCCAGAAGATGAAGAGAAGGAGACAGCGAGTTGAAGAACTCCCACTACAGGTTCCAAAGGCGGAAACATCCGCCCCTCTTTTACCGACTCCAACTCCAAGCGTTCCAGCTCCGAGTGTATCTTTCCAGGCACCATCAGGACGCAGATTTCTTTTACTGGGGATTTTCTTTTTACCCAGGGGAAGTTTTATATTTTGGGGTTGGGTGTCAAAATAAAAACTTGAGGGGGATGTAAGGAATTGGGTGGTTACGTACCAGGAAGTTTTAGCCTAAACCTTGAATTCAACTAGTTTAAGGGTGGAGTTGGGTTCAATGCAGGACTCACAGGGAATTTTTGAGTACGGATTTTAAAACTTGAATAGACCAGCTTATTTCGATCCTACTTGTTCCAGGGATAGTCTTCTTCACAATGATGTTTTCTATTTTTCGATATCTATATAGTATTTTTAGTATGTAATAAACAAATACACTTTATTATGAATTGTAGTCTGTAACAGGGATAACCTGTATTTAAACTGTGTGTTTCATCTTAATAAACAGTATAGTACCATCTTTATTCCTAACTTATAGGGAGTGAACCTAGTATAGTGATAGCTATCCATAGACTCTAGAGAGTGAAATCAGTATAAGACATAGACTGTGGTTAGATAGGAATTAGCTGTGTTTGAGTGTAGACTCTGATAGTTTTATATCTTTGATCTTGAAGATTAGAGTTAGAGTCAATTCCTGTTCTAGGAGTAAACTGAGTTTTGTTCACTACTGAAGTTTGTTAGAGTTGCCTAGGTTGAGATATTTTCTGGTTGGTTTTCCTTTGCAGCTCATTTATTGTCAAAGGGACTACTCCTGAGTTTAGAGGAGGGTCGAATATTTTATATCAATAAATCTAAGTGTTATAAAAAGTTCTTAAAAGGAAGATTGTTTTTTCGAAAACAAAACATTTTTAGCAAATATTCTAAATTTAGGGATAGAGAAATAGAATTCTATTTGAACATCCTTATATTCTGTTTATTATTTCAAATAAATGTTAATTATTTCGAAATGTTTTTTATTCATAGTTATTCATTTCATACACTGCAAATGCAGTTTGGCAGCTAAGACATTAATTTGTTTAAGTTACGAACATACAGGGTGTCCCACGAAACATGACAATAGGAAGACGACTTGAAAGTCGGCTTTGGTATTTGAATTTATTTGTGACATTTAGTCTTCTATCTACTTTAACATGTATGATTCTTGAAACAATTATCACATAATTCTCCTAGCCCTGGCATTTCCAAAAAGTGGTCTGCGTTTTTTGTGCTTTCAATATTACCGGAGATATAAAGAGT